CCGACATTGCTGCACTGTCACACTTCATGTGGGGGAGGGATCCAAGAGGGAACAATGCTGCTTGTTCAGTTCTCTGCCAGCTTTCAGTCACTTTCCCCTCTACCCACAAACAAATTGGGACCTTCTGGTGCAGACTCCTGGGTGGGTGGGTTTGCGTACATTCTAGGACCCTGTGGATCTCTCCAACAAACTCTCCCGTGAGACTTGGAGTTTCTCCCACCACCTTACCTCCCTCAGGTTTTTAGTTGCAGGTTTTGAGGCTTTATTTACCTGCACTGGAACCCTGGGTTGTGCAGTCTATCTCGCTCCCCAGTGGTTCCTCCAGGTTTATCTGCACACAAATGTGGGACCACCTACTCCACCAGCCGCCATCTTGCCATAAGTCCTCTCTGCCCAGCTGCCAACCTCCACCCCTTCTACTGGTCTGGATGAATGTTTAACTCCTTGGTTGTCAGACTTCCATACAGTTGGGTTTTCTATCAATTCTGGTAGTTTTTTGTTACTAATTTTGATGTTGTTCTCTTTGATTGTGCGAGGAGACACAATGTATCTACCTACACCTCCATCTTGGTCAGAAGTCCTTGAAAGCTGGATGTTTCTCTCTCACATTGATGTTTCTCTCCCTCTCTCTCTTTTCTCCTGTCTGAAAATACATAAAGTCTTTTTAAAAAATAAAGAAAATGTCTTTCTTGGGAAGGCCTTTTCTGATCTTCTCTCCAATCTAAGTACCCACAATAACCTAAACTTGTCAGTATTATCATTGTACATTATTAGTATTTATTTTTTAAAAGATTTTATTTATTTATTTTTGGAGAGAGAGGAAGGGAGAAACATCAATGTGTGGTTGCTTCTTGAGTTCCCCCTACTGGGCACCTGGTTCACAACCCAGCATGTGCCAGGACTAGGAATCAAACCACCAACCCTTTGGTTCGCAGACCAGCACTCAATCCACTGAGCCACACCAGCCAGGATATTAGTGTTTGTTTAATGTTTGTATATCTAGGCTGAAAACTCTGAGGGAGAACCCATTTTGCGTTTTCCTGTACCCTAGCACCTGGCAATTGAGAACTCAAATAACTGCTGAATGAGCAAAAAGGAGGATGTGAAGGTAGGAGTATAATATTCTATCAGGGGTAAAATGGATAAAGTCAGATTTTTCTCAGCGTCTTTTACCACAAAGTCTATATTGTTTTGTTCTTTTTTTTTATTGTTGACATTATTACAGATGTACCTCTCTTTGCTCCCCTTACCATCCCTGGCCTTCACCACACTGTTGTCTCTGTGCACGGGCTATGCATATATGTTCTTTGACTAATCTCTTCCAGTCTCCCCACTCCACTTCCCTTTGATATCTGTCAGTCTGTTCCATGTATCCAAGCCTCTGGTTTTATTTTGTTCATTAGATTCCACATATGAATGAGATCACAGGGTATTTGTCTTTCTCTGACTGGCTTATTTCACTTGGTGTAATATTCTCCAGATCTACCCATGCTGTTGCAAAGAGTAAGAGTTCCTTCTTTTTTATAGTTGCATAGTATTCCATTGTATAAATGGACCACATCTTTTTTATCCACTAATCTACTGATGAGCACTTGGGCTGTTTCCAAATCTTGGCTACTGTAAGTAATGCTGCTATGAATGTAGGGGTGCATATATTTTCTGATGTTTCAGGATTTTTTATTCTCCTTTCTGAACAGTTGCCTTTGGGATTCACTTGCAACTTAAACCAGACATTGACAAGAAAGTGGACAGGGATGAGAATATGCACAAAGTGCAAATGAAGTGGACAAATTAAGGCCAAATCAGATATCCTTTCCTTCTTGGGAAATGAATAGACCAGAGTGATAGGAGAGTGAATTCTGGTTGCAGAGTGCTGGGTGGGCCCAGAATGAATGACACTAATGACCTGGTCCCTCTACTCATTCTTCAGGTGAATATAACATAAAAATTAGCATCCAGACAGTCCAGGAAGAGAAAATCAGCACAAAGCATCTTCAGGTAGATTGGGGAAAGGCAGTTCTCCATATGCTTCAACTGGGCATCTGCATGTGCCTATCCTTTTCTTGGCACTAGTCACTTTTTCCCATCCCATCCCTGCTCTTTCCCACCTCCCTGACATCCATCTCTGCTTCCTGGGAGCATTATCATCCCTGTCTCCCTCATTCCTCTGACCCCCCACCCCTACAGGGCAGGGCTGGCTTTGAACACTTCTGGAAAACTACTAGCTATTGTTAAATCTAGACCTGAAAAAAATGACCCAGTGCTAACGTTTGCTGTGGGAAGTCTTTCCCAGCTCCTTCAGACAGAGCTAATTGCTATCTTCTCTGTGCTTCCAAAGAATGTTGAATCTGCCTGTCAGAGAAGTTACTAGTTACAATTCTTAGCAAACAGTGCATTCTTACTTAGCTAGGCTCTGGGAGTTTGGACATGGGGGTCTTGTACACAAACATGACGTTCCATTGTATTATTCTCACTGATTGCCAGTGTCACTGTGGGTTAAGTAAGTGCTGAGACAGGGTCTGTATGGTAAACATTCCTTGGTTTTGTGGATCTCTCCCATCAGCCTTAACACTCTAGGAATTGAGCAAATATTTTATAAGACCATCTTTACTACCCTGAAATGAATCTTACCAATAAAAATAACTACCTACACATATAATCTTAAACAGACCAATATAATGCTAACTGTAATGTAACAAAAAATAAAGGGAGAGAAATCTATAAAATGTTTCAATTAATAAACTGTATTTGAAAACATGAGCTGCCCTGGCTTGCGTAGCTCAGTGGATTGAGCGCGGGCTGCGAACCAAAGTGTCGCAGGTTCGATTCCCAGTAAGGGTACATGCCTGGGCTGTAGGCCATGACCCCCAGCAACCACACATTGATGTTTCTCTCTCTTTCTCTATCTCCCTCCCTTCTCCCTCTAAAAATAAATAAATAAAATCTAAAAAAACATATAAAAAAAGAAAACATGAGCTAGTTGGAAATTGGCACACATGACAAGGTCTGTCCAGAAAAAAGTTTAGCCATTGTTAATATATGAAGAATGGTTTGCACATCAGTGTAACCTGGCAGCTAAGGAGAGTGGAATGGAATGCACATGTGTGAAAAATGGTGACTTCACTGTACAAGTCAGTGGGGGCGGTAGATGCTGTTGAGTGAGCTTGGGTACTGTGAGGGCATCGCATTCAAAATGACTAAGTGTGTACAGCAACAAATCTGCATCAAATTTTGCATTAAGCCTGAAGATTCCTCCATGGAAACTATTTGGATGATTCAGAAGGCTGCAGCTTTGGGCAACTGGTGATTGGCAGCTTCGTCACAACAACACTCCCATTCATCCATCATGTCTCCTGCAGTTTTTTTATGAAACATCAAATCGCCCAGGTGACTCAGCCCCCCCCACAGCCCAGATTTGGCACCCTGTGACTTCTGGCTTTTCCCAAAATTAAAATCACCTTTGAAAGGAAAGAGATTTTAGAATGTCAATGAGATTCAGGAAAATATGACGGAGCAGCTGGTGGTGATTGGGAGAAATATGTGAGGTCCCAAGGTGCCTACTTTTAAGGGGACTGAGGCATCATTGTTCTATGTACAATTTTTTTGTATCTTGTATCTTCTTCAATAAATGTCTCAATTTTTCATATTACATGACTGGATACATTCTGGACAGATCTCATACTTATAGTGAATAACTTAGATTTAAGAGATGATATTCAAATAACTATTGAAAATGCTTTTTCTTAATATTGGCTACCTTTAAATAACTAAAGATGTGTTTATATATGTAGAATACCTGTAAGTACAACAGACAGACAGAATGATACAGGCATATGGTATTGATGACCTAAGTGCCTGAGCAGCTTTGCTATCAGCAAAGTGATTTTTTCAAAATGGCAGACAACTCTTGGTAAAATTCCAAACCAAAGAGTACAATCTTCCTTAGTTGTATTCCTGGAAAATTCAGTGTATATTAAAATGACGTACCCTGACTGGTGTGGCTCAGAGGGTTGGGCATTATACCACAAACTAAAAGTTCCCTGGTTTGATTCCCAGTCAGGGCACATACCTGTGTTGTGGGCCAGGTACCCAGTAGGGTGCACATGAGAGGCAACCAATTGGTGTTTCTCTGGCACATCGATGTTTCTCTCCCTCTTTCTTTCTTCATTCCCTTCTAACAATAAATAAAAATCTTAAAAAAAAAAAAAAAGAAAACGATGCAGCAAATGCTTTCTGTTAAGTTAAATTCTCAGTTCAGGTCATTATAAATGGCCTGAGGTATAAGGATCAACTCTCCAGGGTGAGAAACTGCCCCTTCCACTGTGGTCATCTGACATTCCTGGGTTTGCCTTCAATGCCCACAATACCCATTTTGGGCAACCACAGTGCCCTCTAAGGTCAGGGAGAGGCCTTGGCCTATCACTGCTACATTTCTGCTGCATGTTTAGAAATGAATGTACACGCTACAGCACAGAGGTGGTGGTGAAGAGGTGACTAAGGTCGGATTTTGTATGTTACCGAAATGTGCGCATTAAGCAAACAAGGGTCTTTTTTCAAAGGTAGAGATTTTGGTCTGGTAGGCCATGGATCATGCTTTTCAGGAATACCACATTTCAGAGACCATAGAGGGGGCAGTCAGATTTCCAGTGAGACAGACTGTAAAGGATTAAGAGGTAAATAAGTGGACAGGAAATAAAGGCTACTGGGTACTGCTTCTTTGGGCCTTTTCCAGGGTTGGCTGCTACAAGCTAGCATTCCCAACTATCCTTATAACTCAGAAAAGTGGGACTTGCTCCAGGATCCAAAAGAGGGTTGAGTATTTTCTTCCTTTGGGGAGAGTATAGAATTCCTTTGCTGCACACCAGGAAACTGCCCCATTACCTCTGGTGCATCCATCAGCTCTGAGGGCATCCCATTTACAACCTCAGAGTTGATTTCCACCTCTACCCCCTCCCCCATCCTCAGAAACCACACATACACACACACATACACACACCAGGCTGCTGCAGGTAACTTTAATAAGGCATAGGCTGCCTCTCACTTCTTGGATTTAAAGGTCAAAGAGGAAGGGCATCACATCTGTAAGAAAAGAGGGTTAAAGGAATTTATCTGCCCTTTGCATTTGCTATTCCCTAAGCCTATAATGCCCTGTCACAGCAGATGTTCCTCTCTTAAGGCCCACATGCCAGCTGGTGTCCAGGAAAAGAAAAAGCCCTTTTTGTACATAACCTCTCAAACTATGCTTCTGACATTCTGTGGTCACCATTTCCCTAGGCTGCTAGACTGTGTGTAGGCCCAATTGCACCTTAGTTGTTTCTCTATCAACTCCCTGTACTTCAAGTCTCATGATTGCGTGTGGGGTCCCACCTTAGGCAGGGATAACCCCAGGGTTTCAGACCCCTGATGTCCTCTCCCCTTCCTACATAAGGTAACTGCCCCCAGATATGGCCCAGGTTCCTTCCTTGTACATTAAGCCTTAGGTCAGGATCTTCAGGTCCCCTCCTCTTGCCCACCTCCCACCATATGACAGGGCCTCACACCTGGCTGGCTCATGCACTGTTGGATACTTTCCAGCTGAGTGGAGGCCAAGGCTCGAGCCTCCTCCTCAAAACGGCGGTGTCCCTCTTTAGTCAACTTCCAGAGGCAGGATCGAGGCCATGGGCTAGCCCCACCCTGCATGCTGACCGGCACTTTTTCAAAGCTGTCTCGGAAACAGAGATTGTGACGAATGGTATTCTTCCAGCCCTCTGGAGCCGTCCGGAAAAAGGGGAAATGTTGTCTGTGGACAGGGAGGAATGGTAAGGAAAGGCATGGTTTCCTTTGCAGATGTATCATTGAGTATGTTCTCCCCCAGGGGCCAGGAACCATAGCCCTTCTCTCCAGGTGGAAAATGGCAAGTTGGCCTAAACTGGTCTTTTGCTGATTGAGCATGTGGCAAAAGCTCCACCTGGTTCATTGCTTGTACAAACCCTCGTCTTTTGAACCCAGTTTACTGCCCCCGTTCCTAGACTCATCATCTTCCCAGGAACCAAGCATAAAGTAGGCCAGCCAACTCCTGTAAGAGGAATCCTGGTCAAGGAAGGACACCACTTGAGGATTAATATTCTGGGACTTCTGATATAGGAAAAAGGTCTGAGAAACTCCTCATACTCATGCGCACTTGACTACCAAAGCTAAATGTAAATCCCTTTGCAATTGGGTACGCCTGGGAGTACAGGGAGCTTTGCCACACAGTACAGCCCAAAGGGAAAGCATGGGAAACTAGACTTTATACTAGATCATCTTGAGAAGGAAGGTGGGAGAATTTATCACCCAGGTGAATTTATGTTTTAAAGAACTAAGATATAGAGAGATTAGACTTTTCTACTGTGAATGGGGGTGGAGGTGGATATCTTCCTGTATATGTGATGTGTTGACACACATTCAGGGACGATCCAGAACAAATGCCTGGGAGAGGAGAGCTGGGAATATACTTACCCTCTCATCCAGATGGTAAAACTGAGGCAGCAGCCAAGGGTTTGGGCAGATTGGAAGATTTCAGAACAAGGACCTTGACGCCCGCCCTTCCCCCTCCTCACAGGGCCCCTGGCACGTACCCACATACCGAGTGAAACTGTAGATCTGTTGCACGTTGAGGCCACAGGGGGAACTGTTTCTTAATGCCAGTGCAATTAGGTGGAAGTAATTGAGAGGGGGCCTGGACCAGAGCCTCCCCTCCTGGCTGTTGCCTTGCCGAAGCCGACTCTGGAGGGGGGCCCTTTTGTGAGGGGATGGGAGAGCCACACAGGAGCTGTCATCCTGGTCCTTAGCCTCCTCCTCTTCTGTGAGCTAGAGGAGCACAGAGTAGGAACTGGTCCTGACTCCACGGCCTCTACTCCAGGAGTGCAGTGGCAGGAAGGGGCAGTGGTTTAGGGCTACCATCTGGACTGCTCCCCAACCCAAGAGCACAGCTAATTTCTGAACCCATTAACCCTTTGTTATCCATTAAAAAAAAACCCCAAAACAGAACTCTCTGAGGCATCATCACTATGCCCACCTTGCCTACAACCCCAGAAATTCTTACCTCCCAGTTGCTGGGGAAAGAAGCAAACTGCTTCCAAGGGAAAGACTGCCCTCTGGAGGAAGGTGGCAGTGACTCCATGACTCCGGCTTCTGAGCAGTTGGCAAAGTCTTCCTCTTTGGGGGCTGGCTGAGGGCAGGGGAATATGCTTGTCAGATCTTCCCCCTTACTAGGTGCTGGGACCTCTAGCTTTCCAGGGGGAAACACGATGTTGGGGTTTACCCACATCCACAGGTTGGGCTCAGTGTCTGGACCTGTGTAGAAAAAAGTTGTGTTCCATAGCTCACTGGACTTTGGGTGTCCAGACCAGGCCACAAGACCACCCATGTCAGAGGACTCATTCCCCACTACTCACCATCTTCATCAGGTTTGGGTTTTTTCCCTACAGGTATTTTTGGTGGCTCAATTATACGGAGTTTATATCTGGCAACTGGCAAAAAGAAAGACAAAAGAGAGTCAAAACATCCTAGGATTTCCACTGAGGTGCCAGGAGACTGGGCTTTGAAGCTTCTCTGGGATAGGGCTATGGGCCCTGCCTGGGGAGTTATTGCACCATACTGCACTAGTTTTCTCCTTACCCTCTGACTTTCTCATTCACCTCTGCATTCTTCTTTTCTCATACTATTTATACTGTTCCTGAATGATCTGATCAATACCTGTGGCTTCAGTCACCATCTATAAACTTAAGGTTCTCAGAGCTTTATCTGTAGCTCAGACTTCTCTGCTAGCCATTAATTAGAAATCCCCATAGGTATCTTTGCTTGGCTAACCTACAGGCACTTTGAATGGCATTTCTAAAACTAAGCTCCATATTCCTCCTTAACCTCCTGTATTCCTTTTTCAGCATGTGGCACCACCATCTAACCAGTTTTTCAGGCCAGAGACTTGGAAATCATTCTTGACACTTCTCTTTCCCATACAGCCACACCCAATCCATCAGCAAGTCTTACCATCCTAGTCCAAGCCATATCCCAAATGGTCTGTTTCTTTAACTCATCATATTGCAATTTTAATGATCTTCTTAAAATGTTAATCCAACCTTGTCAGCCTGCTGTGTAAAACTTTGAGATGGCTTTCCATTGCCCTTGTGCTAAATCTAAAGACACATATTCCTTAAGATAGTCTAAAAGGCCCTGGCTTGTCATCAGAGTTAAGTCATTCCTCCTAGCCTTTTCACCCATCTCCAGCAGATCACATTCTAGATCCTAGGCCTTCCTATAAGCTGATTCCTTTGCCAGAAACACTCTTTCTTCTTCCTGTTCTCATGGGTAATTGCTACTTACCCAGCATGTCTCTGTTTAAACATCTCTCTAAAGCAGGCTTTTTCTGACCACCGGTCCAAACACTCCCATAGCACCCATGTTATTGTAAAATAGAGTCTACTGAAATTAATAGAGTCTATCTCCAGGTCTGTCTTGTTCACTGCCTGGCACATGGGAGAAGCTCAACTTAATTGGATGAATGAATTCATAGTGGAATAAGAGTAATTCAAGTATATATTAGAGTTATCTGCTTGGCACTATGCTGGCTCCTCAGGGATAAAGGGAACTATTTGTGTCTTCTTCATTGTCCCCATGAGTGTCACCATATTACAGAAGAATCTAGGTTTTTGCTTGGAAAATGATGATAAACTTATTGGAGAGCTCAGTAATTAGAAAGGATGCTCATTACATTGCTATATGTTCAATACAGTATTCAAAAAAGGAAAGAGTAGCAAGAGATAAAAAGTTGGAAAGAAAAAGGCAAAATTACCATTATTTACAAAAAAGTGGTTAACATAGGAAACCACCCAAAATTGATGTACAAATTATTAGAACCAATAAGAATCCAGGAAGTTTGCTGGATATAAGAACAACATACTAATCAATAGTGTTACTCTATGGCAATGTTAAGAAACTGGAAAACAGCTCTGGCTGGTGTTGCACAGTGGGTTGAGTGCCAGCCTGCAGACTGAAAGGCCGTCGGTTCTGATTCCCAGTCAGGGCACAGACCTAGGTTGCAGGCCAGGTCCTTGGTTGGGGGCTTGTGAAAGGCAACCGGTCAATGTTTCTCACATATTCATGTTCCTCTTATAATTATATATATTATATATAATGTTTAAAAAAAGAAACAGGAAAATATGAAAAAGGTACTGTTCACAATAGTAATCAAAGTAATAAAGTTTCTAGGGGTTAACCCATCAAAGAATGAACCAGACTTTAGAGGAAAAGATGCAATCACTATTTAAAGGCATAAAAGACCTAAATAAACAAAGACATATAGCCCTGGCTGGTGTAGCTCAGTGGATTGGGCACCGGCTGTGAACCAAAGGGTCACCAGTTCGATTCCAGTCAGGGCACATGCCTGAGTTTCAGGCCATGTCCCCAGTGGGGGCCACGTGAGAGGCAACCACACACTGATGTTTCTCTCCCTCTCTTTCTCCCTCCCTCTCTCTTTAAAAATAAATAAATAAAATTTAAAAATAAATCAATAAACTTGATTTAAAAAACGACATATAATACATATTATAAAGATGTCAATTACCCTCAAAGTAATCTGTATGTTTTTTTTTTCGTTTTTTTTTTTTGTTTGTTTTTTAAAGATTTTATTTATTCATTTTTAGGGAGGGAAGGGGGGGAGAGAGAGAGAGAGAAAGAGAAACACCAATGCGCGGCTGCTGGGGGGTCATGGCCCACAACCCAGGAATGTACCCTGGCTGGGAATTGAACCTGGGACACTTTGGTTCCCAGCCCGTGCTCAATCCACTGAGCTACGCCAGCCAGGGCTGTAATCTGTATGTTTTATACAAATATAATACTTATAATAGGTTCTGCATTGTAAAACTCACAAGGAAAAGAAATCAACTGATAAAATTAAATAGAAAAAACAATTTAACTCACAAAGATTTTAGTTCTCTAATAGATAAATAGCTTCTACAACTCAGTAACTAAAAGACTACACAAAGCTATAATGGACAAAGGATACAAATCAGTATTCACAAGGAGGAGAAACCTGAATGACTAACAAGATGCCCAGTCTTACATAAGAACACAATAAGACACTTTACATTAAACTGATAAGAATTATAAAAACAGAAAATACCAAGTGTTGGCAAAGATATAGAAAACAACTTTTTTTAAGAAGAGAAGGGAGGGAGAGAGAGAGGGAGAGAATAGCAGCTGCTTCTCACAGGTGCCCTGACTGGGGACCAAACCCCACCCCCAACCACTGGCCAACCAACTGAGCCATACTAGTCAGGACAGAAATATAATTTTTTACTACACTGAAGAACTGGCATCAACTGGTGCTGCCACTGTGAAAAATAATCAGGCAGTATTATAATTTACTATACTGTCTACTCCCGGGTATGTGTATTCAAGTTAATATAGGAGTTAACATACTAACCTGTATTGTTGCTCTCACCTACCAAATTCTCAGTCACTCCCCTTGATTAGAGGAGTTTAGCTCCTGGCTCATGGTCACTAACACTTCTCTTGTCTTAAGTCTTGGCTATTTCAATACATAGACAATTCTCCAAATAACCTGGCTTCTTGAACTCTTCTCCTCCAAAGATCTTGCCTTCCATTTTACTTTAGACAGTCTCCCTCACTGTCATAACCTGAACCAGTAACTGCAACCCCTCCATAACTTCATTTTTGTACCACATAAAAACATATCACCTCCTATCTTTCTGGTTACCTCCTTCTCAACCCCAGCTATCCTTTGATATCACAGATATCACCAACCCATTGATCTATAGTTTGGGGGTACTTGTTTGCTAGAGTTGGATTTAATTAGGGTGGGTGTTGGGCCTACCAAGTGCCTCAAAGCATTATAGAACAAAAGGATTTGAAGGGTGTATGCAAGAGAGAAAGCATGTTTGACCATGGGATTCCAGGTTAAAGAAGAGAGGACATCCAGTGATTGGGAGCAGTAAAAGGGTGACAGAACCAACAGATTGGTGAGTTCAGCCTCCGTCTGTCTGTCTTCCTCCCTCTCTCCTTCTCTGGCACAGACACCCTCATGCCTTCTCAAGGACAATGTTCCAACAATCCTCTCTTCTCTTTCCTGTTAATTTTCTTTTTTCCTTTTTTGGTCTCTATTGGATCATTCTCACCAGCATTCAGATATGCTGTTAATTCCCTCATGTTAAAAACAAAAACTTCTGCCCTGGCTGGTGTGACTCAGTGTATTGAGTGCTGGCCTGCAAACCAAAGGGTTGCTGGTTTGATTCCCAGTCAGGGCACATGTCTGGGTTGCTGGCTGGGTCCCCAGCAGGGGGGCATGTGAGAGGCAAGCACACATTGATGTTTCTCTCTCTTTTTCCCTTCCTTCACCTCTCTCTAAAAATAAGTAAATAAAATCTTTACCAAAAAATTTTCTTTGCCAAGTCACTATCCCACAGTTTTGCTTTCCTTTGAGGCAGAACTCCTTAAAAGAATGGCCTATATTTTCTGTCTTTACTTCCCCTCCTTCTATTCTTAAACCTATGCCAATCAGGCTTTCTCCACCACTCAACCAAAACCACATCATCAAGGATCTTTTTTGCTAAATCCAATTGTCAGCACACCTCTTACCAGATCTCTCAGCAACATTCCTCTCATCTGACCACTCCTTCCTTGAATTTCTCTCGTTTTCCCTTCCCTTCCCTTCCCTTCCCTTCCCTTCCCTTCCCTTCCCTTCCCTTCCTGTCCCTTCCTTTCCCTTCCCCCTTCCCTTTCCTTTCCTTTCACAGGAGGAAAGGAAGGTAGAGAGGGACAAAAGCATACATGTGAGAGAGAACATCCATCTGTTGTCTCTTCTTGCACACCCCCCACTGGGGACCTGGCCCACAACCCAGGCATGTGCCCTGGCTGGGAATCGAACCAGCACTAAGACACATCCACTAAGCCACAATCAAATCCACTAAGCCACACCAGCCAAAGAAAAACACTTTCTTTACTTGTTTTCCACAATCTCAGTTTTGATTCTCAACAGTCATTTCCTCAGTTTTTGCTGGTTATCTCTCTTCTCTCCAATCTCTTTACAATGGAATGCCTCTAAGGCTCACCTTTATTCCTTCTCTGTCTTCTCTATTCTCACTCCTTAAACACCTCTATACCAAAGACTCTCAAAACTTTTATGTATAGTCCACATCTCTCTCCAGAACTCCAGACATATATATTTACTTGCTTACTCAACATTTTTACTTGGAGAGCTAAAATGTATTTCAACTCAACATGTCCAGAGCATATTTCCTGATTTTCTACCCTAAACCTGTCCTACCAGAAGCTTCTCTCAGTAGAAAGCAACTTCATTCTTCTACTTAGTTAGCCAAAAACTGCCAAAGAGTCATCCTCTAATGCACAAGTGGCAAACACAAGGCCCTAGGGCCAAATCCAGCCCTCCACCTTGTTTTATCTGGACTGCCACCTTGTTTCTGCCCAGTGGCAGCACCAAGCTCCTAGGCCCTAGTTAAGGAGTAGTTACATTTATACAATCCTAAAGTTACATTCGGCCCTTTGAAGGCAACTGCAAGGCTGATACCATCCCTGGTGAAAATGAGTTTGACGCCCCTGCTTTAATCTCTTTCTCACACCATACATCCAATCTATCAGCAAATCTAGCTGGTTCTACCTTCCCACCAAGTCCTCTGCTACCATCCTGGAGGTCCAGTCCAGCATCATGTCTGGTCTGAATTACTATAGTAGCCTTCCAATTAGCCTCCTGTCTTCTAGGCTCCTAGCTTCTTTGTACCCCGTAGTATATTCTACAGTATACCCTCAACACAGCAGCCACAGTGATCCTTTCACAATACAGATCATGCAGGATCAGCTACATAATTTGCATGGTCCAATGCAAAATGAAAATCTGAAGCTCCTTGTTCAAAAGTTATTAAAAATCTCAAGACAGTGATAGAAGAGCATTAAATCAAGTATAGCCACCCTAAACAACTATACAGGTCACATACTCAGGAATCTAGTGACTGTATCTCTCCTCTGCTCAAAACCTTTCAACCATGCCACACCTTACTCAAAGTCAACTCCAATGTTCTTGAAGTGGAAGACATTTCTTCCTGATCTCTGCTCCACACCCTGTGAACTCTCTTCTTTGTTGATCTTTATCCAGCTTCACTGGCCTCTTTATTGTTCCTCAAATGCTCCAACCAGATTCCTTCCTTAGGGTTTTTGCACTGGCTATTCTTGCTGCCTGGGAAACTTTTCCTCTAAATATTATTCTCTTGGTTCACTATCTTATCTCCTTAAACTCATTGCTCAAATATTATATTCCCAATGAAGCCCAGCTTGATGGCCCTATTAAAACTGTAGCTGCCACCACCTTCCCTGCTCCCTATCCCATTCCTGAGCCCTCCTTACTATGTCCTTTCCCCCCATCTCAGTTATCACCTTATAACACACTAGTAGATAGATTTTTATGTGGACTGTATATCTGTCCCCAGTGGAATGTAAGCTCCATGACAACTTGTCTGGGTTTTTTTTTTTTCTTCATTATATATCATGAGTGTCTAGAAGAGTGCCTACCAAACTGGAGGTGCTCAATGAATATTTCTTGAATCAGTAAAGGTACATGAATGTTCATCAGCATTACTATGGTGGCAAAAAGTTGGGGCACTTTAGATCTTCTTTAGTAAGGAAAATTAAAGTGCAAGAGTTAGCATACAATAATCAAAAATGATGAACCAGATCTACATTTAGCAACCTAAATGGCTCTCAAAAACAATGTGATCTCTCTCTGCCATATGAGGACACAGCAAGAAGAGGACTATCTGCAAACCACGAAGAGTCCTCACAGGGGGAAAAAAATGTGAAGGGGGTGCAAATGAACATTATGTAAATTAAGGTCATCTATAAACATAAAACAATGCTAAACAGTTCTCAAAGATACACATATCTAAAAACATTAACTCGGTTAGGGCAAATACACGGGAATGTGGAAGGGATAGAAGTGGGGTTGGTGATTGAAGGGGGAAAAACGGTTAACCCAAGCACTTTGCTGTAACATGTGGCAGTAACTTACCAAGAAAGTGGGAAGTGATTACCTCAATTCTCTGCACTTGAGGTCCAGATTTAAAATAAATTTTAAAAAAGACCCCCGATGGCCAACCATCCGTTCGGCAAATATTGAGCACCTCTAAGTGTCAGACAATGTGTTAGGTGATGGGGAGATAGCCACAGTCAAAACTGATTACTTTTTTTTTAAGAGAAAATTTTAGTAAAAAATTAGTACTGTGCCAAATGGCAAAAGGCATTTTGGAGAAAGGCCCAGAAGAGGCATAGAAGCTACTGGAACAGGGCTGGGTGGGTGGCTCCGAGTTAAAAGCGCCCTGCCCGGCGGCGGGAGGATCGCTGCCCTCCATAGGCTTGCAGTTTAGGTGGGAGGCTCGTTTCTCCGGGACCTGGGGTAGGGGAGGGGGCGCCGGCCTTCAGCAAAGGGGGTTGCGGATCTCTAAACTCTGTGCTATCACCCGGGCTCGCCTGGGGAGGGGAGGAGGTCGAAGGCTGGGGAACCGCCTAGCCCTGTTCCTTGCTCCCCCGAGGCCCCCACTCCTGCCGCCCAACACGCCCAAACCTCCCCCAGCCCTCCCCACCCATGCAGATGCTCACGGTTCTGTTCTGCTAAGGGTAGGTGCGTGGTCGTGAAGGCCAGAAAGCACTCGTTCCCCATGTCCCAGTCCAGCAGTCCCGGGACCTGGCCATGGAGGCTGGCCCAGAAGTCGAGGTGTTGGAGTTTCAGGGCCACGTTCAGGAAGAGAAGACCAGCCCAGCAGTGGGTGGGAGAGTCGGAGAGACTGAGGCCAGGCCTCTGAGCCACTTACTCAAATACCAGGGCTCTGATTTAATTAGTTTCCCCGGCTCTGAAGAAGTTAGCTTTGACACCTTTAATCCCCTCTGGCCTCAACTCTCAACTAAGTACCTCTCGAGGAAGTCTTCCTTGGAACCCCTATGCTTCTGTATCGAGCTTTGGGTACCCTCGTCCTCTTCCCACACTACATTTGCACAAACGTTTTATTTTATTTAGTAAATTCGTCTAAGATTTAAGAATAATCCCAAGATAGTATATTAACTTTCTAGAAGTTCTGATTAATTTTAAAGCTTATCCAAGAGCGCATCTGCAGTACACCATGAAAATGGGATTAAATGGTGATTGTTTTGAAGTTTTGTTTTTAACAATTTCAAATTTCCAGAGAAATCCCAAAAATACTATAAAAAATGCCTGTATACCTAAATCTTGTAATTCATTGATCACACTAATTTTGATATTTCATCACACTTTAATTTTTCTCCCAGTATATACATAAACATATACTATTTTTCTAAACTGTTTAATAGTAATTTGCAGACATCATGACTCTTTAACAATAAATACTTCAGTTTGTATTTTCTGAGAACAAAGATATTGGCTTATGTGACCAGGAAATCAAAAATAAGAAAATTAATCAAAATCAAAAAACTTAATATTGATTCAAAACTATGTTTAGTGTACAAATCCTACTCAAATTTTACCTATTGTCCCAATAATGTCCTTTACATAAATTTGTTTTCTGGTCTAGGATGCAATTCAAGTTCATGGCTTGCATTTAATTTTCATCTCTTTAGTCTCTTTTAATCTGGAGCAGTTTCTCAGCCTTTTAAATCTTTTATAACATTGATATTTTTAAAGAGTACAGGCCATTTATTCTGTAGAATGTCTGTTAGTTAAGGTTTATCTGGTGTTTACGGACTTTAGGCAAGAATACCACAGCAGTGATGTTGTTCTCTTCTTAGTACATCACATCAAGAGACACATTATGTTAATGATGTTAACTTCAATCACTTGGTTTAGTGGTATCCACCAGGTTTCTCTACTTTAGTGATCTCTTTTCCCCCTTTTGTAATTAGAAAGTAATTTTGGGGAGATACCTTGATTTAAAACCCTGATCCTCATCAGTTTGGGCCCACTAACTCTAGCATCTATTTATTATTCCTGCTTGAATCAATCATTACTTTGATGGATATAAAATAATTATTTTTTTATCACTGGCTGATATGGTTCAGTGGATTGAGTGCTGGATGTAGAACTGAAAGATAGCCAATTTGACTCCCAGTCAGGGCACATTCCTGGGTTGTGGGTCAGGTACCCAGTTGGTGGCATGAAGCAATGGATCAATGTATCTCTCCCACACCGATGATCTCTCCTTTCCTTCCCCACTCTCTAAAAATTAATAAACAACACATTTTTAAAAGTTAGTTATTTAAAAAAAACTATCATTCTTTTTCTACTTATTAAGTTGGCATTCTACTGTAAGAAAGAGCTTTTCCTTATCCCATATTTGTTTGTTTATCAGTATGGACTGAAAGGATTCTTATTTTTTATAATGGATTATAATTCATTACTATCATTATTTGTTTTAATCCTACAGTTATTCCAGATTTGACCAGTGGATGTGCTGACCCCCTCTGGTTCCTTTGTGTGTCCTGGGTTCTCCATTAGAGCCCATTCGCCCTGTGCTGTGTTACTGTTGCTGGTCTCCAAGACCAGAAACTTTAAGAGTATCTGGCACACAGGAGACCCTCAATAAATGTTGTTTTAACTATAGTGAAAATAACAGCTTCCTTTTTAAAAGTGTGATAGAACTTTACCTTTAATGCTATTAATATTTTAATATTTTCCCTTATGAAAATATGCATGTTTGATGCAGAAAACTTGGAAGTATAGAAAGCACAAAGGGAAAAAATAAAACAAAAATGATTCTTTGTATTAATCAGAGATAATGGCCAATTACATTTTGATGTATATTTTTGCAATCTTTTTCATTAGAGGTGGTTCTTTTTTTTTTTTAGATTTTATTTATTTATTTTTAGAGAGGGGAAGGGAGGGAGAAAGAGAGAGAGAGAAACATCAATGTGTGGTTGCCTCTTGGCATGGCCCCCACTGTGGGCCTGGCCTGCAACCTAGACATGTGCCCTGACTGGGAATCGAACCTGCGACACTTTGGTTCGCAGCCCATGCTCAAATCCACTGAGCTACACCAGCCAGGGCTCATTTTTGTTTTGTAAAAAAAGTTGTAATGCATCCACCCTTTTATAGCCCTTTTCAAATTAATCTACCATTTCACAATGTTAATATGATGCAAATCACATATCTGATAAGGATTGATATCCAGAAAATATAAAGAACTCCTACAACTCTCTCTCTCTCACTCTCTCTCTCTCTCTCTCTCTCTCTCTCTCTCTCTCTCTCTCTCTCGCTCACACACACACACACACACACAAAACCCATTTAAAAATGGGCAAAGAGCCCTGGCTGGTGTGGCTTAGTAGATTGAGTGCTGACCGGAGAACCAAAGAGTCGCTGGTTTGATTCCCACTCAGGGCACATGCCTGGGTTATGGGCCGCATCCCCAGTAGGGGGTGCGCAGGGGGCAACCACACATTGATGTTTCTCTCCCTCTCTTTCTTCCTCTTTTCCCCTCTCTCTAAAAATAAATAAATAAAATCTTTTTAAACAATGGGCAAAGAATAGAATAAACATTTCTCCAAAGAAGATACACAAATGTTTAATAAGTAAAAAGATGTTCAGCGTCACTAATCATTAGAGCATTCGAGAAGTGCAAATTAAAACCACAATGAGCCCTGCCAGTGTGGCTCAGTTGGTTCAGCATCGTCTAGTAAATCAAAAATTTGTGCGTTTGATTCCAGGTCGGGGCACATACCTGGGCTGCACAGGAAGAAACTGATTGATGTTTCCCTCTCTCTCGCTCGCACTCTCTCTCTCTCTTCCTTCTTTCCCCACTCTGTAAACTCAATGAGTACATCCTTGGGTGAGGATAAAAAAGAAACCCACAGTGAGATGCCACTTCACATCTGTTGGGTTGGCTATACTGAAAATAAACAAAACACAGGAAATAACATGTGTTGGCTAGGATGTGGAGAAATTAGAACCCTTGTGTGTTGCTGGTGAGAATGCAAAATGGTGCACTCTCTGTGGAAAATAGTATGGTGACTCCTTAAAAAATTAAACGTATGATCCAGCCATTCCACTTCTGGGTAAATACCCAAAAGAATTGAAAGCACAGATATAAATAGATATTTGTATGCACATGTTCATAGCAACATTACTCACAATAACTAAAAGGTGGAAATAAAAAAATGTCCATCAACAGGCAAGTGGATAAACAAGATATGGCATATACATATATACAATGGGAAATTATTCATTCTTAAAAAGGAATCAAATTCTGATGCATGCTACAACATGAATAAACCTTGAAAACACTATGCTGAGTGAAATAAACCAGATACAAAAGGAGAAATGTTGTATGACTTCATTTTTATGATATACCTAGAAGAGCCAAATTCATAGAGACATAAAGTAGAATGTGATTGCCAGGGATGGGGAGGAGGGAATGGGGAGTTCTAGTTTAATGAATATAGAATTTCTGTTTGCAATGATGTAAAAGTTCTGGGGGTGGATAGCGGTGACGAGGTTTCATAGTAGGTGGATATCACAACAGTATGAATGCACTTAATGCTACTGAACTATACACTCAAAAGTGGTTACAATAGTAAATTTTATGTTTGTTTTACCATAATTAAAAATTATTTATGTCAGTAATTTCCAAACTTTGCTGTTTATTGGAATCTGGAATCTCTAAAAAATACCAATGCCTGGGCCCAACCCCCAGTCATTTTGATTCTGGGATGGGATATGGTCTGGGAATTGGGATTTGTTTATTTATTTATTTTTAAAGATTTTATTTTTAGAGAGAGGGGAAGGGAGGAAGAAAGAGAGGGGGAGAAACATCAGTGTGTGGTTGCCCCTCACAGGCCCCCTTCTGGGGACCTGGCCTGCAACCCAGGCATGTGCCCTGACTAGGAACCAAACTGGTGACCTTTCGATTCTCAGGCCAGCACCCAATCCACTGAGCCATACCAGCCAGGGTGGGTTTTATTTATTTTTAAATATTTATTTATTGATTTTAGAGAGAGAGGGAGGGAGGAAGAAACAATAATTTTTTGTTCCACTTATGCCTTCATTGGTTGATCCTTGTACATGCCCTGGTGCCCTCACCGGGCTTGAACCTGCAACCTTGGCATATCTGGACGATGCTCTAACTAACTGAGCTACTTGGCAAGGGCCTGGGCTTTAGGGTTTAAAAATCCCCCTATCAGGGGTGTCCAACCTTTTGGTGTCTCTGGGCCACCCTGGAAGAAGAAGAGTTGTCTTGGGCCACACATTAAATATGTAAACACTAATGAAAACTGATGAGCAAAAAAAAGGTTTCAAGTAAATTTGTGATTTTGTGTTGGGCCACATTCACAGACATCCTGGGCCGCATGTGGACCATGGGCCATGGGTTGGATACCCCTGCTGAGATTATTCTAATGTGCAGCACTTCCCACAACATAGGAATGCTGGGCTCCCAAGCCTTCCCTGGCTGGGGCAGGTAGCGGGGGAAGCAGAGCCAAATCATTCTCTGGGCATGGCAGGCTCTCCCAGTCCCTCTCTTGTGTTCAGGCCTCAGCTCAATTAAGCCTACCCAAACAATGAGGGGTCCTGATGTTCACCTCCTCTCATTTTTTGTAGTACTAATCATAGTTTTTTAATGTACTTGTTCACATTTTTTAGAGTCTCTCTTTCACTAAATTCCATGTAAGTTCCATGAGGGAGGAGCAATGTCTTTCACAGTTTATTCCTAG